GTGAGAAATGAAGATGGTCCATGAGCTCAGAGAGAGGATAGTGTGGAAGGAAGGTATACTTGAGAAAACTAAGATGGGAAAGAAAGTGAAATCAGGAGGCGAGGACCAGGTGAAGAAATGTTTGTGCACCCATGTTCACAACAGCAAAAGGGGAGAGGAACCCAGCAGATGCATGGACAAACAAAATGTGATATATGCATACAATGGAATATTACTCAGTCTTTATAAAGAAGGAAATTCTGCCCTGGCTGGTGTAGCTCAGTGGATTGAGCGCAAGCCTGTGAACCAGAGGATCACAGTTCGATTCCCAGTCAGGGCACATGCCTGGGTTGCAGGCCAGTTCCCCAGCAGGGGGTACATGAGAGGCAACTACACAATGATGTTTCTCTTCCACTCTTTCTCCTTCCCTTCCCCTCTCACTAAAAATAAATAAAATATTTTTTAAAAAAGAAGGAAATTCTGACATATGCTACAATGTAAATGAACCTTGAAGACACTATTCTCAGTGAAATAAATCAGTCACAAAAGGACAAATACAATATGATTCCATTTATATAAGCTACTGAGAGTAGTCAAATTTATAGGCAGAACTACTGCCAGGGACTGGGGGTAGGAAGATAAAAAGAGTCCTGTGAATGGACGGTGGTGATGACTGCACACCAATGTGAATGCACTTAATACCACTAAACTGTACATTTAAAACTGGTTCAGATGGCAAATTTTATGTCATTTGGATTTTACCACAACCAAAGACATATAGTATATTTTTTAACTAAATTAAAAGACCTGGGTTTAAAAAAAGAGAGAATGGAAACAACTTTTCTACTTTATAGCTTTGTTTAGGTCTTTTTCCTACTTTAGCCACCAAAGGGTTAAAAAGGGAACTTTTTAAATAAAGTATTAACTACTATTAACTATTCAAAAGTGCAAGTTGAGCAAAACCTAATTATGCTAAATCAGTGGAGATAGAAGAAAAATAATGCCATTAAAGCTGCATTAATATGAGTTAAATTGAGAAAAAGGCCAATTACATTCTTAAAATTATTAAAGCTACATTCATTTACTGCCTTGAACATAGAAAATGCTTAAATTGAAGCATAAGTTTGATTTAATATGTCAATGACAGTGTCCTTTGAAGGCTCTTTATAGTAAAATAGCTTTTATGAGAGAAAATGATTAAAAGAGGCAAAGAGACAAGCACAAACCTCTCACTGAGTGGCTGATGGGAGAACTGGTGGGTTTGAAATTCCGAGAATTCACCATTGCAATAGAATTAATGAATGGTATGATAATAAGTTCACCCACCAAAGTATTGACCCTCATAAATGTTCAAGAACAATAAAATTCTGGTCACTGGTAATATGAGGAAAACCACTAATACCTAGAAGTGGGTGCCACAAACCCAAGTTTATGTATTGCAGCATCCAGCATCTCAAGAATTATCAGCTCTACAAAGTGGACCCTAGAAGAAAATAACCCTGAGCTTACAGATACAGAATAGGAACAATGGAAGGTAATCCAAGAATAAAATTAGGCAGGGCAGTAAAAATTCTAGCACTGACTGAAAAGCCCAACATTAATACTAAGTTTTCATTTTACAGGGAATTGTAGATCTTCCCACTTTCTTTATCTCTTTAGCACTGCTGATACTTTGTAGGAGGAATTCCGGAATAGCCAACTGAATTCACCTAATGAGATGAAAATGATACATAGGACAGAAAAGACACCCCAAAATTTTCACTGAATACAAAAAAGACATAATTGACAAACATAAGTATTCAAAAAACTACAATAAGGGACTTCCGCCAAGATGGAGGCACAGGTGGACACACCATGCTTTCTCCCACAACCAAGTTGAGAGACAACAAAATATTAGCAACAGAAAACACAGCCAGAACACAGAAAATTGAACTTTTCGGAAGTCTGATAACAACCAATTCTTCAGCCTGACCGATAGACCAGCAAGGGAGTGGGCGGTGAGACAACGGGACCGAGCAGGCCCCAGCGGCAAGAGGCAGCAGGGAGGGCAGCAATTTCCCCTCTCTGACCCCCCCCCCACATACAGCATCACAAACCAGCGACCTGAGCAGCCCCGCCCTGGTAAACACGTAAGGCTCCGCTCCTCATAAGTAACGGGTACGAATAGACCAAAAATGGCTCAAGAAGATCTCAAAGCCCCAGAGCCCATAAATCTAAGCGATGAAGAAATAGCAAAACCTTCAGATGCACAGTTCAAAACACTGGTGATCAGGATGCTCACAGAACTGGTTGATTTTAGTCACAAATTAGAGGAACATATGAAGGCTAAACTAATTGAAATGAAGGGAATTGCACAGGAAACCAATAGTGATGAAGAGGAAACTGGGACTCAAATCAAGGGAGTGAACCAGAAGGAAGAAAATAATGGCCAAACAGGAAACTATGAAGAAACAAGAATTCAAAACAATGAGAAGAGACTTAGGAACCTCCAGGACATCTTTGAACGTTCCAACACTCGAATTATAGGGGTACCAGAAGGGGGAAAGAAACAGCCACCAGTGGAAAACTTATTTGAACAAATAATAAAAGAGAATTTCCCCAATCTGGCAAAGGAAATAGACTTCCAGGAAATCCAGGAAGCACAGAGAGTCCCAAAGAAGTTGGACCCAAGAAGGAACACACCAAGGCACATCATCATTATATTAGCCAAGATTAAAATGAAGGAGAGAATCCTAGAAGCAGCAAGAGATAAGGGGACAGTCACCTACAAAGGAGTTCCCATCAGACTGTCAGCAGATTTCTCAAAAGAGACCTTACAGGCAAGAAGGGGCTGGAAAGAGGTATTCCAAGTCATGAAAGCCAAAGACCTACAAGCAAGATTATTCTATCCAGCAAAGCTTTCATTTAGAATGGATGGACAGATAAAGTGCTTCTCAGATAAGATCAAATTCAAGGAGTTCATCATCACCAAGCCCTTATTATATGAAATGTTAAAGGGACTTACCTAAGAAAAAGAAGATAAAAAATATGAACAGCGAAAGGACAGCAAACTCACAGTTATTAAGTACCACACCTAAAACAAAGCAAACTAAGAGGACAACTAGATCAGGAGCAGAACCATAGAAATGAAGATCACATGGAGGGTTAGCAACAGGGGAGTGGGAGAAGGAGAAGGGGGGAGAAGGTACAGAAAATAAGTAGCATAGATGGTAGGTAGAAAATAGATGGGGGGGGCAAGAATAGTAGGAGAAATAGAGAATCTAAAGAACTTGAGACATATATATGGTCATAAACTAAAGGGAGGAATGGTGGGGGAGGGGGTGTGCAGGGTGGAGGGGAATGAAGGGGGAAATAGAACAACTGTAATGCTATAATTAATAAAATATATTAAAAAATAAAATAAAACCATTTGTAATTTTTAAAAAAACTACAATAAAGTAAGGAAGAGAGAAAATCCATGGTTACATTTAGAAGGCCTTCTCCTTGAGGTTTTTTATGTGGAGTTATAGTTTTCCCCCATTGCCCTGCAGCAGTTAGATTTCAATACTAAGTTTACATCTAACACCTAACAAAAAATAAATTCCTGATAGGAAATAAAATTAATAACTATAAAGATACAGCAAAGATGACTGGGAGGGGGCAATAGGTAACTGCAACGAGGCTCCGTCTCTACCACCAGGGCATTCACGGCTAGAAAACATTTTTCCACTTAATGATAATCTTCAACAGTTATTGGGATCTCTGTCTGCTTTCATTTTCTTTTCTTCTTGGCAAACTTCCATTCAGTGTAGCTTTTGCAACAGTAAAAATAAGTAAATTTGACTCAACAAAACCAAGTATTATTTTACAAATGCAAACTGAAAATCAACCTAAGTTTGCCTTGTTGTTTTTGAAACAGATGCTAATTTTAAGCAATAATTCAGAGAACCCCTGGAGATTTACATGAGCTCATCAGTAGCAAAATCATTTCTGAATAATTTTAAATGTTTTCCAGAGCAAGAAGCTCTTTAAACTGCCAAATTTCTTGGCACATCCCACACACCCACCTAATAGCCTTGTCATCCAAATGAGAGCAGAGCTGAAAATAAATTCACTCCACGGAAAAATTAAAAGGTGAGATATTTGGCTCTTGATTTTTTGTGTTGAAATGACTGGAACGTCCTAGAACTTGACTTGGGGTCCACAGATGATGTCTTACTTTATCAATCATATAGAACAACAGTTAGCATTCTGTTGAGTTGTATACACAGAGGAGAAAATTTTAAGCAACAAGAAGCCCCCCTCATGCTGTAATAAACATCCAATGGCTTCCCCCTACAATTGGCAGATAAAGAAATTTGAATAGTAAAAGCTTTTAACCCGAACAGAGCTCCACTGAGAACTTCTGATGCTGCTGAAAACGTGAGACGCATAAAGCTGACACTCCGGGCCTGCCTCTAAACGCCTGCTGCCACCAGTCCTTGGGGAACAGAAGTAACACAAAAGCTGAGAGAGGGTCCAACCTCCTGTCGTCATGGTTGAAACTGATTGCACCCTACAAGAGAATCTGCTCTGGGCTTCTAGTAACCCCAGAACCACAGTATGAAGGTTCAACTGAGACAGGAAGCTTGAAGCTGTACATACACATCCCAATCAGGGAAGGACACTGGGACCCAGAGAATTAAGAGATCCACTCCAAGAACCCATGTCATCATATGAACAAGATATTAAACTTGATTTCCCTTCGATTTAATTCAACTTTGTCTAATCACACAAGCTTATGATTCTATAAACACGAAAATCTTCCCCATGTTCTCTGTAAAGCTATTTTGCCTCAGTCTTGAATAACTAAATTTACATGCCTCCAAAATGCAACTAAAGCATTATACGCATTCTCCTGTGGCCCCCAGGGACCATTAAAAGCACTTAAAAATGCAAAAGATCATAGAAAAATAAAGATCACATTTCATAGAAATTAGCTTTTTTGCCTAGACAGGGACAACTATTTACTTCAGCAAATACCAGGTCTTTTATAAGGCAGTGTCAATTTTATTGCTTTTTGAAATTATGTGTAAAGTGTGAAACTTTATAATTTGCACATAAGCAACTTCCATTTTTAAGTTTAAACATGTGGTGAGAAGAAGTACATGCACATGAATATAAATTTTTTAATCACCATCATTTACATTAGAAATTCCTTTATACAAACATCTTAACTTTTTTCTTTTTAAAAAAATCAGCAACTGGTAAGAACCTTCTGAGACTGCAGAAAATCCAGCTTTCCATTTCAGCAGGCTTTCACTGAGAGATGTGAGTGATGGCAGATGAAGGCCTTTTGAGAATAGACTCAACAGAAAATGACAGCGGTTCATTCACCGAGAGTTTTGTTCCAACTTGTTTGGCTACAAAAAGGTCTTTTGCACATCTATCTATTGTAAATGTGTACTTCTGGTTCTCCTTGACTAAACACTCTCTGTGTTTCTTAGGGGCCTCTTCAAAGGCCTCTTTGACAAATGGTGTTTTCAACTCAGAACCTGATTTGTCATTAAGAGTTTGCTGGAATAATGAGTGGAATGGATTATGTTTAAGTGGCAGAGGGTGCCTGGTGCTTTCTTTGCTGATCTTGGTTAAGATGTGCCCTTGAGCTGCCAGGGAGTCCGGGTCAACAATCGGAGAGAAATTCCGTCGGGGTGGGGAGAATGCAGACCTCTCAGGGACAGCCTGGTGACCCTGAAGGTCACTTCTAAAGGTCTGGACCTCAGGAGTGTGAGGCAGCACCAGAGAACCTTCCAGTTTTGGTGGCATCATATCATGTTCTGCAACCAGTCCATCCTGGACTTGTACTCCCTTCAAGTCCCAGCTGGCCCCAGGTTTCAGGGCTTGAACTGAGGTGGTGGTGTTTAGCAGGCATTGCTGGTAGAGGAGAGTGTCACTAATGGGGCCACACTTGGGCCAAACTAAAAATCTTGAGGACAAGGGATACTGTCTGTAAGTCGTGGCCACGCTGACATTAGAAGAAATTAGTTCCATATTCCCAGACCCCGAATATTGCATGGTTAGATCAAGGCAGGTAGGCAAAAAATTACAGAAGTCTTTGTTTGGTGGTTCCGCTGGGGTTGGGCTGTAAGCACTTTTGTAGGAGTTGTATTCAGGTCCATGTACCACGTGGTTGGGCAGGAACAACGCAGCAGCTTGGGAAGCTTCCAACATCTCTCTCTCTTTATATTCTCTCTCCAGCATAATGTTCTCCAATTCTTTATCAGCAAAGGCCCGCCTTTTCCTCATCCGGTCACTTACTGGGGGAGGTAGAGGTAAGCTCCCTCCCACATAAGTCTCTGCTGGGATGGGGCGGTAGCCTAGAATAAGCAAGCATTGCATATGAAAGAGATTAACATTTAGGGGGGAAAATCTGGGAATCCAGAAAGCAACAGAAACACTGCCAATATGCAGAACAATGTTTATAGTTCTATATCACTAATATTTTTATACAGAAAGCAAAAGTATTGTTTCCATTTAAAATTGTTTCTTTTGGTGGAAAGGATATCCATGTTCTAACTTTTTGTAATTGTTGTTTTAGTACTTATGAGGGTGTTTGTTTACTTTGACAAGCATACTTTACTGGCTGAAATTTTTATATTCTTCCCAGGCTCCTATACATCAAGAACAAGGCTGCTAATCTTACTTCAATCAATGATTCATCACTATCCATGTCATCTTTTTCCATTATTAAAAAAGGTAGCTATACCTAGAGCTGATGTCACTTTTATTTTCTAAAGATGGCTCATTATGTACACATTGTTACAGTTGGAGAATAATCCAAGGAGAACTAGGAAAAAAGAGAAAGTTAAAGCAGATTAGTGAGGAGAAAAACAGAAAAGACATAAGGAAATACAGAAAAGACTTAAGGAAACTGGAAGGAGCTGTTAACTCATCAAACAGACTCTGCTGTTAACACGGAACCAGGCCCCTGCCCTGACCACCAATAAAAACAAACAAACAAAAGCAGGGGCTGGCGCTGAGATCCCCTAGTATATTAAAAATAACTGCTCTGATGCGTTTTCCCCAAGCGCTAATCATGTTGGCCGGACACTCAAATGGTTGAACAAGCAATCATTAGAACATAGATTAAGTCATCTCAAATTTATAAAGTCGAAAGCAAAAATTAATATAACCATATAAATAGCTTTCTTGGTGGTAGAAAATGCATTCCTCATCCCCAGGTACTTGCTTGCCATTACCAAATTTGTTCGAAGGATCCATTGTAATGGTTGTGTTTACATAGTGACAAATCCATCATACTCATTTGCAAATAAAATAAAATTTGAAAATTAATGTTTCGTTTTCTAAAATTTTTGTCAGAAAGTTACTTACTCCAATTTACTATTACGTTTATTTCTTCCTCCCACTTCTCAAATTGCATTGGCACAATTTCAGTTTATCAGTGTAGGCCCTATGGTTATAAATCTATTTACCCAGTTTGTAATCAAATTCACTTGCAAAGCATCAGAAACCATTTTAAGGTCAGAAGTACACTGCACAGGGTAAGACACGAACAAACTTTAAAACCTGTCCAGACCAAATTCAATTCAGAAGCTACATAAGAAAAAACAAAATTAAAATGTCTCCTTAAACAAAAAAAAATCTACTTTTCAACATGAATCTTTTAAGCAGCAGTACTTAGAGCAAATACAAACATTTCTTTTCCTTAATTGGTGAAAGGTAGTCAATACATTATTTATCAGGTTAATAAATTCCATACCCAGAGATGCTTTGAAAAATCAGTAGTATTTTAAGAGAAAATAATGTATCTCCAGGCTTTAAAGGAAGTCAAAACAAGGAGAGGGTTAAAGATTTCACACTGTTCAAATTCAACCTTCACTTCACTTGTTTGATTCTACAATCTCAACTGTCAAAATGATAAAATTAAGTGTGGAAAAACCACAATTATACATAATCCAAGGAGGGAAATGGTAAAATGAAAATGAGTACGTACTCTACTTAGCTCCAACAACTAAATAAGTTTTTTAAATTTATTTCCTTCCAGGATACCTGCTCTGGGATCACTTGGCAGAGTATCTCTGTACATCCCTCACACTGGGGCAAGTTTTATATGCACTCCCTGCTAACCCATTAACTCTTAAGCAGACAACAAAATTATCAGCGACAAAAACAGGATGGATTCATTTTCCCACGTCCTGATTTTCTTCCTGGAGTAAAACCTTCTAAGGTACCTTCCCCTGAAAGGTACATTCCCACAGACTGCTCCTTCGAAGGTTATTAAAAATACCATACCCCAGAATGATGAGAATCACTCAGAACTTGGTTTTAAAGGCCAAAGGGATGATTTTGCATTGCTTTACCTTCTAAAATACTTTTGGCCAGCAAACTGGGTGTCCTGACTTGCCTCTGATACACAGCTTTGCGCTCGAAGTTATTCTGTTTCCCAGAAAGCCCCTTCTTGTCCTATAAACACAAGAAATAATCAATAATGCTTTTTTTTAAATGTTGGAGAAAAACAAGAAGAAAAGGGTATCAGTAACGCTTCTGGGGCCAAATGTATTCATGTTTTCTATCCTATGTGAAAATGATTCCAAATGAATTAATATTAGCACTCCTTAATTCCAACACAACGAGCTAGCTCTGTCCGAAGCTACCAACTGGTGAGCAGGGCCCTGGCTTTCTCTGGGGCTGCTTTGCCAGCGTTGTCCCAGATACGCCCAGCAGCCAGAACTGGGGGAATTATTCGGAGGAAGGAAATCCACAGTAGATAGTGGGAACCCGGCCCTGGGCCCTGAAAGACAGCTGCGCTGCCGCCACCGCCTCCGCAGCCAAGCACCATATCCTCTGCACCGAGAGACAGGGCTGAAAGTGCCCATGGCCTGCTATTGGGTGATGACGTGGTGCTGGTTTCTCCCCACAATAGGATAAGTAGGATGGGTGCAGGGGGTCGAGGGATAGATATGAGGGTCCCTATCTCTTAGACTCTTCCCTATTCTGGCCAGAAACTCTGGATAGTTCACTGGGCGAGGGGGACTCAAGGTGAACAAAACCCTCAGAAGCCTCGAGGGCTGTAGGATAAGGAGGCCTTCCTCCTGCAGTCACAGCCAGGTGGGTAGGCTGCTGTGCCCAGCAGGCCATGGGGTGCTAGAGGGAACGCAGGGTCCCAGGTCCGCGGTGAAACACACAGGATGAGGAGGAGGTGGAGACCGAATCAGGACCAGGGCCCCCTCAGGCATCCAGCTCGCTCTCCAGGGACCTTGGAGCCTTTCCATTAGGGCCATTATTTTCGGTGTTACAGAGATCCACTCCCGGGCCCCTCCTGTCCAAAAAAGTAAAATAAAAAAATCTTTCCCCAGCCTTGAGTGTGAGAGGGAGCCGCGTGTAGCCTCCGTCACTCTGAGCTCCCCTCCCGGTGTGCGGGAACACGTGGAAACATCAAGTCAGATGTTCAAGAAACGCCTCTGCCTTCAAGAAAACCCTGGGTCCTTCCCACAGCTGAGGCCTCATGGTGGGAGGCGGCAGACGCCCCTCCAACGGTTCTTAAGAAAGCTCTGGCTGCATGATCTTGAGCTGTGGACACCTAACTTCCCACGCCACTTCTGATCTCATCTGTGAAATGGGCACCACATTCAGCCTACATTAAACGGCCCAGGACAGCCGGAGCAACCTGTGCCCGAGGCTGTTCTTTTTCGCCATCAACAAGAGTACAGCACTGAGCGTCGAGAAGGACTCCTCCTCCCAACACCACCAATAAACTTTAAAACATAAAAAATAAAGTAAAATGCTTTTTTTTTTCTTTCACAATGTCCAGAGCAGACCTAAGGACTCTCAGGGCCTAACTGCTTTTTCACACAAAATCTTTTCTACGAAGTTCCCCAGCGACGCCCAGAGCATCCTCCCTCTCCACCCTGCAAGCCGCATTGGGAGAAAACTGTTCTCACCACACTCCCAGGGAAGTGCCAGGCGCCCCAAGGCCCTGGGCCCCCATGTGAGGGATGCAGCCCTGTCCCCTGCGGCTCCCCGACACCCACGGCGGCTCTGACGCCCCGCGGTACGCACCTCTGTGGCCTGCTGCCTCCGGAGCGCCACCTGGGCGGCCATGACGCGCTGCCGCTCCACCACCAGTAGGCAGTTGGCACACTGGCAGTCACGCCAGCGGCAGAAGCGTTTGTGACCCTTGAGACAGGACACTACGCCGTGGTTGCGGCAGCGCGCGCACTTGGGCGTGCGGCTCAGCTTGCGCGGCTCCGCGCCGCCGCCTGCGTGCGCGCTGCGCTCCGGGGGCCCGGCGGGGGCCTGGGAGGCCTGCGAGGCCTGCGGCGCGGGAGGCGGCCTCGGCTGGGTGACCCCATGCTGTGGCGGCCTACACGACACCCCTGGGGACGCGCCTGCCTCCTCGCCGTCGCCCTCGTAGTCCACATCGTCGTCATCCTCGTCCTCTTCGTCGTCATCCTCGCCGTCCTCCTCGGGCTGCGGCGGGCTGGGCCCGGGCGGCGTTGGCGGCGGCGCCCCGCGGTTGTCCTCCTCCAGCTCCAGGCTCTCTACGTCGATCTCCCAGTCCCCGGCCCCGGGGCCCGCCTGCCGGTCGGCCATAGTGCGTGGTGCTTCGCTCGGGCCCACGCTCAGTGGCCTGTACCCTGGGAAATATAAAAAGACCCCGAAACCCACCGCAGTGAGGCACTATCCCCAAGCCTTGCGGCCAACCCTCCCGGTCTGCCCGCCTCCGTCCCCCGAGGAGCCCTGTTCTTTACCCTTTCCTTACATCCAGGCCACACATGCCTTGTCTTGTAACTTTAGGGCCCCCCGGGATCCCAACCCAACAAGGATTTATCTATTAATTCTAAGTGCTCTGTGAGCACCTGACCTTTAACCGCAGCCCACTCTAGCTGTACGCACGCTTTCTGGAGAGTCCCTGGGTAAATGCACTGGTCACACACACACACATAGGCATCGTCTCTAAATAGGCCGGCTTAGGCCACTCAGCAGGCTTCCCCGTACCCAGTTAGTATGGCCACGGTGAATATAAAAATGTCTATGGTAGAATTATTTTCCTTTGCCTCACAAGGGGCCCTTCAAATAAAGAGGTACCGCCCTTTGGCTCCTAAATGTCTCTCATCCACCTACACCCTCACGAAGACCCCTCCGTGGGCTTGGAGAGGTCCTCTCATCTCCCTTCCCACCCCAGCTAATAAGTGACAAACTGTTGGGCTGTCATTACAGTCCCATAGGGACACTGGGCACAGAGATGCAGATGCCTCTCCAGCATCGACTGTGTTTGGGCCACGCTGAGCTGAGCCGCGCGGCTCTGGGCACATCGGGCATGGTTTGCATTTTAAGGCAAGACTTCCAAGTACAATAGAAAAGATAAGGAAAAGTGATTCTCACCCTTTGCCCTCCCTGAACCCCAGCGACATCACAGCACTCACCAAGACTCTGAAGCCCGGGCTAGCAGCCGAGGCAAAAGATATCCAGCCTTGGGACCTGGCTCTTGGACTGCTGGCTGTGCTTGCAAACAGAAATCGGGGTCGCCACACCCTGCCACGAAATCGGGGTTGGGAGTGCTGACAGCTGGAAGCCCGGAGCCCACTAGATGGGGAGTAGGGTAGAAGGGGGATGGAGAAGATGAGTCAGGTCCTTACGGCCTCGCCCTACACATCCCGGTCTCTGCAAAGTTAAGGTCTGTCCACGGCTGCCCCGGGCGCTTCACTTCGCTGAAGCTACTTTCGGCTTCCTCTGCCCCAAGCTGGGCGGGAAGGGTCGAGACGCCCCGGTCAGCCTCAGACGGAGGGCTCGTGGGGCTGGCGAACGCACACAGCTACGCGCCACGCAGGGTTCCTAGCTGCAGTCTTCTGCTTCAGCGCCCTATTCCTAGTATTATCCGTTCGGGCCCCCGAACTTCGCGCCCGCTGATTGGCCAGTTGTCAAGCGGTGTGCACGCTGATTGGTCGAGGCGTGCCGACCCGGCGCTTCCCTGACGCCCTCCCCACCGCGTCTCCGCCTGGCGGCGGCCACGCTCCTCCCAGTCGCACTGCGCCAGAATAGTCCTGCGCTGCCTTCGGTGCAGCCGGGTACCATGTCCCGAAGCTAAATCCGAAGCGTGACGGCGCCAGCAGAGGTAAAGTCGCCACTCATCTCCCCGACTAGGAAACAGACACACACTATTACGAATCGCGTTGCCCACAGGAGAAGGTAATAGGCGGCACGGCAGAGATAGAAAGCTACGGTTGATCTCTACGTTGTCAGCATCACCCCAGTAGTCTGCGGCTGGATCTTTAACCCAAATTGGACGGAATAATGAGGCCTCTCTCTAATCGGGAGCACAGCGGCATTTGACTTTCTTCTGCAAGACTAAATCAATAGTTACCTTGCACCGCAGCACGGGGGTTAAGCGGACAAATGACCTGTAGATATTTTTCTGGCCAACGCCTGTACTCTTCGAAAAGCAGAGTAGTTCCTCGTTAACCTTCACCTAGCCTGTGAGGCAGGCAGGTCGCCAAATCATCTATGTCAATTACATTTTTCAGCTTTCAATTACTATTACAGTTGATTTGAAGGAGAACGGACATACTTTCCTTTAAGAGATTTAGGTACAATATATTCACTCTAAGTATGTTTTAAAACGAAGTTCTTTTAATGAAAAGATTACTTTTTTTAGTGTGCCTTATTTATAAAGGAAAAAAGACCTACTGTCTGCCTCAGAATCCTTACATAAATATTTAATAACAGTTTGATTAACAACACGTTGAAAAGAATTAGTCCCCTAATGAAATGCTGCACTCTATTTCTTTAAGTAAATTTAAAAATCACTTAGACACTTCTAGTTACACCTCTAAATAATACCTCTCAAGATCGGTTTAGGAGACAGATTAGGAAATTGAGTGCCGTTACATTGAGCACATAGTAGGCCCGCAATAAAAAGGAAATTGCTGAGCTATATCTAATGTAATTTTCTCAGAGCCCCTCAGGAAGTTAGAAGTTAACCAAGCTCCGAGAGTTTGCGACGTGGGAGCTTAGGAATTGCTGTGAAACTAATGTGAACAGCTGGGCGCAGGTATTCTCCAACTTTTGGCTAGGTGAGAGACCTCTTCCCCGGAGAATGGGCACTGTGATTTCCCTTTGTGCGGGGACTTCTCTGCCGCTTGCGGTGCTCAGTGAGGGAAGTAGAGAAATAGCCCTGCTTATTCCTAGGGGAAGCTCAGCAGCTCTGGGCGTCTCAAACGGTGACTTTGGAGAGCTGTGCACGCGCAGACAGGGGACAGAGTCAGCCCCTCGTTTGGCAGCACCAAATAACACCAGTGAGTTTTGGCTTTGGTGTTGTTTATACTTACACAAGCGCATCTGTTCATATATGCAGAAGAATTATTTTCCCCGTGTTTTTCAATGACAAAACAGGTTTAAAGAGGAGTCCTCGGTCAGGCGCTGGTCTTGGGGAGGGCAGTGAGCAGCTTTGTCCTATATCGACCTCTGCTTTTAAACTCTCAAGTCTGAAAAAGTTCATGGAGCTCTTCACTCCCAGCCAGAAAGATTCACATAGGTTCGCATTATTTTATTCCCCAGCACCGCTTTTCATTTTAGTTCCTTGCGTTTCAAGCAGCCCTCTTTTAACAGGACACAGCACGTTTTGATCAACTCATTCGTGGTTTTTTTTCTGTGACTCCCCCTGTTAGCTGCATTTTTCTGCCTTTGCAAACACAAGCTCCATGAAGTGTATGCAATCTACAACCCACCCACTCACCTCCACCTGGGGGCAGGGCTGTGTGTAGTACTCGGATTGGCAGGCTGGGTTTTTATTAATTGCTGGGGGGCAGGCAAGAAATCATTAGCCTTTCTCCAGTGATGAAGATTAAGAAACAAAATCAAGAAAGTAGGTTTGTTAATTTGAAGTAACTAGATTGGGGAGAAGGGGACCAGGAAGAAATAGGAGGGGACAGGGATGTGAGCTGCTGTTTATTAAAATAAACCAGATGGGCAGCCCTTGAATTAGTTCGAGTTGTACAAGCTGCTATATAAGGAGGAAACAAGTGAGACTTGTGTACAGTAAACTACACCAGCTGAAGCCAAGGTGGGAGGGGGGGTGCAGGCACCGAAGGGCAGTAGAGCCGGCTTTGGGAGCAAACCAAGAGAGCAAAGCCTTCAGTACGTGGATCAGAGCCTGGTGGCTTCCTCACAACAGCATCCAGCCAGAAGTGGAGAAAGTGGCTCCCATGTGCTTCCTGGACCGACTGGACCCATGGGGTTCTGTAGGTAGGCCCCGGACAGTTACCTCCCCAGCATGCTCCCCCCACCCCTAGCAAAAACCTATGCAACAGTCCCACTGCTTCCTCCAGACTTTCCTGCCCATCTCCATCTGCCCCCCTACTCCACCTGTCTTATCCTCCCTGAACCCCATCCGCTGCACTTGGGGGCAAGGAGCAGAGTGGATTATGCTCCACTCCCCAGCCCTGAGAATTATGACCCCAACAACCGCTGAGAGGGGAAGTGATGAAGGAGAAGGCTGGAGGGCGGGAGATTTGAGCTTAAGAAGTGTAAGGAACTCCAATATTAAATGCGAAATTATCTGCATTTTCCTAGGGAAATTTAGAAGGAATCTAAAGTTGCACAAACTGGTTAGTATATTAAATATTTGGAGACAATAACAATCAGAGAGCCCGGGCTCAGGGCTGATTGTTCCACTGATTCTGTGACCTTGGTCAACTATTTTTCTGCTCCTCAGTTGCCTCAGGTGCAAAATGGAAAGAAGGACCTTCCTTCGCCTAGTGGTTGTGAAGACAGAATGAAGAGGACAGTCTTCACACAGAGCTCAGTAAACGGCTGTTCATCCAGGAGGCGGCTGTGCCATGCAGTTAACTCCCAGGGACCCAGCCACCACCGACCTGCCAGAGGTCTGCTTGTAGACAGACCTCCGGCAGACCTCACTGGTTGTCCTGAAAGGCGGGGCACAGGGAATCCATCTTCTTTCTCCAGGTTCCAATCTTAAAGGGGGTCAGGACATGGCTGAAGACCTGTTAGGTGCGGAAGGAGGAGTGCTTTGGCTTGTAAACCGCCACCAAATTACGAAGTGCAATTTGGAGCCCCTCTTGTAAATTACAAAGCCGGAGGCCGCTGTTGACATTGCCAGGCCCGTTGGTGGGGGTGGCGCGCGGGGTTTTCTCTTTTCCAAGCCGGCAGTTGCCGACCTTCCCGTTCACTTCCCTATCCCTTTACCCCAACTCTCTCTCACCCGCACCTCTTCCTGTCCCCACGCAGCTAAGACCCACCCAGTGCGAAGCCCGCTTTCAGGGGGTCACCAAGGCAACCTGAAAATACAGCCCGAAAGGATGGGGAGGATTTTCTATGTTTTCCTTATTTTTTTTCTTGATGAGGGCGGCTTTCTTTTTTTACTACCAGTAACCGCTCTAAAAAGAGGGAAGGAAGTGTGTTTCCAATTGGCTCCTGCTGGCCCATCCAGTTCCCTGCTGCGAATCCTAGCTGGCAGGACCCCTGCCACTCCGCAGGCGCGGGCTCCGTTCAGCAGTCAGATCCCGCTCCAGGACCTGACCATCTCTCCTCGGTTCCGTGAATTTTGGACCCCCGGAGTTGAGCAGTCATGGGCGGTTTTCGGAGCCTTGGTTCTGCTCAGGCGTTGGGCTTGGAGGCCAAGAGACCAGGTTTCGGATCTGACAAATGGGTTAAAACGCCGGATTTGCAACGAAGAGGATCTTTAACCTCCTTTGCGCTTCACTTTCCTCAGTGGAGTTAACCTTAAATAACGCTTGTAGACAGACCTCTGGCAGGGTGACCGCCCATGCTGAACATTCAGTACTTGGGAGGTATTACTTGTATTAGTTTTGTTATTAATTCAGTGAACTGACCTGCAGAGAGCCCATGTGGCTGGGGAAATTCGAGGCCCATTTTACCAGTTCCCGAGGCCTGGAGGTGTAACTGGGCGATTGGAACCCTGCCTTCCCCTCCAGCCTCTGTCACCTCGCTAACAACCTGCTGCACGGCCCGGGGTGGTAAATTATTCGGGAGACTTTTGGACAGCTGTATAGAAGTGCTTTACTCTGGTCCGATTATGGCTCTGGTTTCTCCAGAGATGACCTCGAATCTACTTCCCCTCGCGGAAAGCCACTCTTAACATTGTATCGCCTCACAATTTTGACCCGCTGTGGACGCGGCGAAATAAATAATCCCAGATGGGATTGCAGAGATGCAATTTCCCAATTTGCTTTGCGTAATGAAATATACGACCTGTCACAAGCAATGGGGCGGGGGACAGCTTGCGAGAGATAACTGTTAGAATTCTCCCTTTTTCTGCTCTGCGTGTCCAAAAAACAACAACCAAAAAGGCTGAAGAAAAGGACAATGCGATCTGGGCTCACATCCCTCTTCCTTGGGAAGTAGGGTTTAAATCACAGGCATTTAAGACCGAAAGGGATGCGCTTAGTGCGCGCCCCTCTGTTCACAAACGGAGAGGAAACTGGAGGCTTAGCGAAGTTCCTGGGACCAAAGTGGCTGCGCGGTGCCAAAGGGGCCACAGTAACTCCAGGGCCCTCCAGTTCGATTCCGTCATCCAGTTTTTTTGTTTGTTCGTTTTGTTTTGTTTTTTAAGTGCCCTTTGCAGCGGGTCCTGGAATCAGATGCTGGACTGTGAAGCAATCATGCAGCCCATATAGGAGGATCTGCCTGGCCCACCCACCACAACCACCAGATCATTTCCATCCTCTTTGCTGGGAAACACGTTCAATTCACTTGGGGGTCTGTAGCAGCTAAGGAGATGACACAACCGCTGGCCTCCTTGACTTCTCAGCACCCATTCCAAACGGTCATGGGGGAGGGAGAGATGCAGGGTTGT